GCTCAGTGTCTTAATCCAGGAGTCACCCTTCACTAAGGGAGAGGGGAGCTACGGGGAAAGAAAGGGCTGCCTGAGGGAGTAGTCTGTTGGCTGAGGCAGGTGCACAGGCTCAGGTCACGGCTCCTTGGGGCTGTGTGTGTGTCAGCCAAGCATCTTAGGTGAGTGGTGACCATGGCAGGCCCCTGCAGGCTGTCAGGATGTCTGGATACAGTCAGGAGGGGCCTGGTTCTGCTACCTCCTTCCCCATGAGCTAGATTTGGTGCAAATCTCCCAGGGGCCTCATTCAGCTCAGCTTCAGGGAACAAGCAGGGCAGAGTGTTGGGTGTGGCCGCCGAGACGAGAATGGCTAGAAATGGTAGGCCTGGATCTATGGAAAACCTTGGACTAGAACTCAGGCCCTTGGACAGGTAGATTATTAAAAAATAAAGAAAAGGAAAGGTGATGGGGAAGCCAGACAAATATGGCCCGTTATAACACCTGCTCTGAGCCCAAAGATGTCAGATATGGTGGACATCAAGGATGAATGGAACTTTGGTGAACTTTGGTAACAGGAAAGAAGAGAAAATCATTGAGGTACTTTTTCCTTCCCTATAAAGGCAGTGTGTTCTGATCCTTTTTGCTTTTTACCTTCCCTTGGCTAACGTGCCTTCACTTCAACCAATGAGCAGCCGAGCAGCCCCAGTGGCTGACTCTTCTTGAATCCTCTTAGTTTTAGAATAATGGATTCGTGACTCATTCTTCTTCTTTTAAAAAAGAAGTTCCAGGAAGAACAAACAAATCATTCTGACCTCCTCACCCTCCCGTCTCTCTCCCCATCTCTTTCCTCTTTCTTTTCTCTCGCTCTCTCAATTACCTGTCACATGTCTTTATGGTGCTGGTTTCCATTTCAGGTCATTTTCAGACTCTCTGAATGAACCCATGGATAAATATTTCACATGCACCTACTGTCTGCCAAAGTTCTTTTAAAAAGCCAAATAATCTCAGGGATGCTGGGGCAATTCACCTGCCGTGGGAAGGCCCACGTTGGTGTCCTCCAACTTGGCTCATCCACATATGCGGATCAGGATTTGTGGGAAAGCTTGCAAGCAAAACAAAACCTGCTCCTTCTACAGAATCGGACAGCTGTGACCCACCAGGGCATGGAATGCTTTCTCCATTCCTGTAGCAAGACAAGCAAGGACTGCACAGCCATGAACTTGGCAGAGATCATTCAGGATACTTCAGTGCCCTGTGGCTCAAAGAGGCCAAGGCTGTGGAGTGGCTGGCAAAGGCATGATGAGCCAGCAGCTTGGGGAGGGAAAGACTGGAGATGCAATGGATGTAAAAGAAGCTGAACAATTTGGCAGATGAGAGAGACAGAGAAAAAAAGATGCTGCTGTGCCTCACAGCAAGGCAACAGGGCTCCTTTGTGCTACAGACCGTGCTGTACCAGCTGCTGGCGCGTGCTCTGCAGCGCTGCAAATCCTTTGAGGGAAAGCGCCTGGGCAGAGGGAAGCAAGGTGCAGACAGAGAAAGAGACTGAATTTCTCCCTGCCCCTGGAGATGCCGCTTACTTGGGGTGAGAGTGGAGGTGAACTTCCGAAGCATTAAGCCACTGTGTGGCTCAGAGACAGCATGCTTGGAACACTGGTCCTGCTGCAGGCTAGATGAACTCTTTCCCTGGAAGGAGCAATTCATCTCTCAGCTTGGAAACTCTACAGCTTTTTTTGATAAGTTCAAGAGCTCCTCTCAGTCCTCTCCACCTACCTGTGTGCAAGTGCTGACTTTAGTGGGCTGGTGGCCTCTGGAGGGTTGAGGCCACCAGCCCATTGCACAGTTCACACACTAAAGCTTGCATTCATTCACTCCGTAGAGAGGAATGGAAGGAAGGATGTGGGGATTTTTTTTGGTGGTGGTTGCAGGAATCTCCTTGCCCTGTGTCAGTGTGGCCATGTCTTTTCTCACTCATTGGCAAATTCATTCATTTCAAAAGCCACAATAGAGGCTAGAAAATCTTTTCCAGTTCCTATGGTTGTTAGCAGGTGAGCATGAAGAATCATTGCCAATGCCGAAAAACCCCAAATGAAAGCCAGAGAGTGAGAGAGATCAGGGCAGGACTGGGCTGCTTTGTGGCTGGAGGCCTCAGCAAGTGGATCAGAGAGAAGACCTAGAAATCCTTCCCTGCCAGCATGGGCAGAAAACACAGATAAGGAGGTGATGGCTAGGGGTCTTCCCTAAAGTCTGATTTCTCACATGCATAGAGGCTGGGGGAGCCAGAAGCATGAACAAGTGGATCTTATGAACACTGACTCCAATAGGGGTGCTCAGAGGAAGCCAGCCAGGCTACTGTCGTCCAAGAGCTGACAAGGCCAACTTTTGGAAACAAGTGAACTCCTAATCATTGGAAACCAAGAGAACCAGAGGCTTGAAATCTCCAGAGCACATTAGCAGCTGAGGCCAGTCCCAGGCCTGCTGTGGCCCATCTTGAAAGAGACTTTGGAAGTTAAAGGCCCGGTGTGGCCAGGGCCCAGCCTGCAGAGGCCTTGGTGACCAGTGAAGACTCGCCAGGCATCTGAACAAAGCCTGGGCCTCTCTTAATCGCTTGGAGGCCAGGGTCGGGGGCCTGAGGTTGGATGCACCCACTTGGTGGAGTGGCCGAACCCCTAAGGCTCTGGGGTGCAGGTGCTCCGGGGCCTGTGGGAAGTGTTGCTGTGTTGAACAATCATGAGTGATCCAGGGACATGGACACGGCAGTGGGGAGGTGGGTGGCAATGTGGGGAGAAAGTTACAGAGGTGGGCAGCGCATGGTGGGGGTGGACACGGACATCCAACAGATGGGATTTTAATTTAAAAAAATCCTTAAGCCTTTTGATGCACAAGTAATCCTGGGGCTACTGTTAGTCTATGTGCCTCCTGGGGTTAGAAAAATGTGGGTTCCAAACTTGCATGTAAGACCCTGGCCCAAGAGTTTGCAGGTAGCACTCCATCATGACTGGGAGTGTGTCCCCTCAAGTCAGCTCCTGTCTTTGCTCCCTCTCTTAACTAGATGGATCCATCACTCTGCTTAGACACCAACACGGCAAATTGCTACTGGGATCACTTCCCTCATTCACTCTGCCTTCCTTCTCGTGTGGAATAGAAGTCCGTCATAAATGTTTAATTAAATGGAAGTCTTTTCCTCCACTAATGATGAGCTGTCTGAAAGAAAGGCTTCTCTCTCTCTTTCTTTTTCTTTCTTAAGAGGAGGGGTGGGTGCGCATGCATCTGCAAAAGTCCCTATTAATTCCCTGGGATAGAATCTCTCTCCTGTGAGAGCTGGGCACCCAGCACCCAGCCAGGAGCGCCTCTGCAGTGTGTGTGTGTGTGTGTGTGTGTGTGTGTGTGTGTGTGTGTGAGAGAGAGAGAGAGAGAGAGAGAAAGGCAGCAGCTTGGGTTGAGAAAGGGCACCAAATGCAGTATGCGTCAAACAGACCATCGCTCAATGAAGTCACTTAGCTATTCAAAACATGTCTAGCCGTCACTCAGCCGCGCGCGCACCAGGAACACTGGGAGGGGGCCTGGTCCAGCCACTTCTCTCCCAGATCTCACCACTGCCCTCAGAGCAGTTTGGACTCAGTTCGGGCGAACCCTCTCCACCCCTGGCTACGCCGTCACCTTTCCCCAGAGTGAGGGCTCCATCAGTTTCTCCCTCTGCCAATCCAGTCCCTCTCATCTTCTCCCCCCACCTCTTGGCTTTAACTGCCTGCATCGCCAGCCCATGTTGAGCTGGACAAACAATCCTGCAGTCCCTGCTTCCCCACACTGCCTCCTACGGCCTCCAGGACTGGCTCGCCTTGGGAACATAGCACAGGAGCCTTTCCTACCCCACAGAAACACAGTCCAGCTGTCCAGGGATGGCTGTCACTTGTACACTCGGGACACAGTCATTCAAATGCAGGCCCCCTGCCCCCTGGGTTAAGGTCTCTTGCTACATGTAGGTTGTGTGACCTGCAGGAGTTGTCCCCTCACCCCTTCCCAAGCTTATTAATGGGTTCTTAGCAGCACATGCCTTGGTCCAGCCCCCAATCTCCCAGCCTACACCAGGAGGGCCTCTCCGCCAACCACACAGACATACATCTCAACGACCCTGCAAGATCAAGGCCAACAGAGAATATCCCCACCCCACCGTGCCCCACAGTGCCCCCTCACCCTCCCCATGCCCTCGCTGCCCTCCCTGCCTTGCCGGCACAATGTCTGACTCTCCAGCCGGCTGCAATATTCATTCCACTGGACCCTGCTTAGCAGGCATGTCATTCTGTAGGGACGCGCGTTGGTGCTCAGCCTAACCTGCAAGCCTACTGCTGTTTATTAGAACTTGGGCTTGCTTCCTGCGAGAGACGCATGTATTTTTAGACTTTGTCAACGTTAAAACACACAGACACGCACACAGCCAGCCGCCTCTCACGCTGTGTGCGGCTCACGGTCATCAGAAAATGCTCTCGAGACCCCGAAATCGTTAGGATTTACCAAGCAAGGATTCTTAGAAACAACAGATTTTTTTTTCCTTTTTGATTTTTTGACATGCCTGAGACTTTTAGAGTGTGAGGTGCAGAGGAGGGGGTAGGGAAGGAAACAGAGTATTTTTTAGTTCATCATTGCAGAAAAGGGACTATGGCACTGAGAGAAGCAATTATTTGTCTCCTCCTGCACGGCCAGGGCCAAGTGGAATGACAAATCCTAATGAAGCCGAGGCAGGTAGAGCCCGCTCGACTTTTTGAGACGGTCTCTTGTTTTTATCATTTCCCACAGGATGCTGACGGACAGGTTTTAGGGAAAGGGGGTGGCAGAGGGTGTGAGAGTATGATGTTTTTCTTTTTCCTGTTTGATTTCTCTTGCCTCTGAAACTAACCCAACCAACCTTGACGTGTGGTAGATGGAGTGAAGTGGGAAAATGGTGGAATGTGAAGGGGACTGGGGGGGGGGCAGTGCGGCGGGGAGCGGAGGGGCGGGGTGGAGAGGGGAGGAGATGCGAAAGCAAATACCTTCTAGGCAGCAGGTTCTCCACAATCCCGAATGGGTCATCACTTCCTCGTTCTTTTTGCTTGTCTCATTCTCACTGACACTCTTGGTCTTGCAAACCCCTCTGGAGTAGAGCCAGTAGTCGGTCCCCACAGCAATGGTCATGAGACTGAAGGCGGCGAAGGCACCAACCGTGGTTAAAAGCATTTGAACACCTCGATCAAACAGCCCCATAATTCTTCATTATATAAACACCCAACCGACTTCTGGTTCTCGGTGGAGTGTGTGCAAGGGTGCAAGGACTAAAGCCAAAAAGAGGCAAAAACAGAAAACCCCAAAAAATTCAATAAAGAGAATTCCTCTACTAATATAACAGATCTGTGGGTGAGTAGAGAAGACGGAGAGAGATACATTTAAAAAAAAAAAGGCGGTAAGAAGCTCACAGAAGAGTGTAAATTAGAAAGATCACACGAAAAGAGGCTTGCCTTTTGAGATCAGAAACTGCTCCAATTGCAGTGATTAAAAAAAAGGAAAAATTAAAATAAAAAGACACCCCCCACCCCCCAAGTGAGATGCCTTAATCTCTTTTCCTAAAATTCTGGTCTCCAGTTTCCATATGTGATAGCTAATTTGGAGATGGCTTCCACAGTGAGCCAGGGAAGGGCGCAATCCTCAACACCACCTCCCATGGTCGGGACCTAGACAGTTAGAGACTGTGGGAGCTGCGCCGGGGGCTTCGCTCTTCGTTCCCGGCTCTGCGGCCTGCGCCATGAAAAAATCCGTGGCTTCGCCAGTTCTCTTCCTTGGGGGGCGGAGGTGGAGCGGGGGCGGGGGGTGGTCTCGGGCGCTTCCGCTTCAAACCAGACTCCCCGGTATTCCGTGAGCCCTGGATCTCAGCGGCGCAGGTGCGGGGGTCTCGCCTTCCATGGCTCGGCCCCGGCGGCGGCGGTGGCGGGGCGGGCAGGCGCGGCCGCGGCGGGTATTGTTGTCGGTGGCGGTGGCGGCGGTGGTGGCGGCGGCGGGGGTAGAGTCGGCGAAGTGGGGGAGGGAGGGGGTTTCTCCCGGAGCACCGAGGCGGGCTTCCCTCCCCCTATCTGCAAAGCGGCCGCCAGCGAGGGAGCGGGCGTCTTTGCTGCAGGATGGGCCGCCGCCCCCCTCCCGGCTCGGCGCGGCCCCGCCGAGGCTCCCAGCTACTGCAGCGCCGGGCGGTGCTGAACTGGACAGCTCCGCGCGCCGCGCCCGCCGCTTGGCGCTCGGGGCCGGCCCGCCGGCAGGGGGGCGCGGGCCGTGGGGCTCGCTCCCTGGGGTGCGGGCCGGGGTAGGAGGGTGGGGAGGGGAAGGGGAGGCGGCGGGGATGGGGTGCGGGCGCGGGGCTCGCTGCCCTGCCCAGCCCCTTGCCAGGAGCGCTCGGCCGGCTGGGCTTGCCGGGGCTTGGAGGAAGGCTTCGCTGGAGCGCGCTAGCTCCCTCTCTCTCGCTCGCTCGCTCGCACCCTTTCCCCTCTCCCGCCCTCCCCCTTCGGTGCGCCTTCCAGCTCAGCCTCCTTCTCGCTCCATCTCTACGTGCCCAGAGCTCCAAACACCACCCTCCCACCACAATCAGACGGGCACCAAACTTCAACCAGCCGTGGGGCTGCCTGCAAGCAGAAAAATAACCTGCATGGGTAACTACAGACCCGGTCTCTGTGTTTCGGACGTCATCGTTTTCACTTTGCTTGTTTTTTTTTTTTTTGGAAGGGTGGGGTGGGTTGTTGTATCTATTTGTTTTAGGGGGCTCGATTGTGTCTCTCTCATCGCTTTGTCTCTGGCTGACACGGATGTGCCTTGCACTGTGTGTGTCTCTAGTCCTGCCCGAAATTCCAAACCTTGCACCTGCAAGCAGACATTTTGGAAAGATTATTGGTGGGAAAGCGTGCCAAGGAGGTGACCGGTATTTGGGGGTCGCGGCTGTGGTTTTCCCCCTCCAAGGGTAGACACTTTGCATGGGAAGCCGAAGAGAGTGGCAGTCCCTCTGGGCATGCGGGGCCATTCATAAACTGTTGGCCGTGGAAAACCACCCCGCGGGGGAGAGGGGAAGGGGGAAGGACAAGATACTGACTCTCCAGCACCGGGGTTCACTCCAACCTCACGTCTACATGGGCAGCTTTTCCTTCTCTTTGCCACTAATCTTGGATCCGTTTTGCCATTGAGAGGGTGGATGTGCCGGAGTCAAGATGTGACTGTCTAGTTTGGAGTTTTGTTTTTTTTCTTTCCCAGAGTTGGGGTGGGGTGGGGGAGAGCTGGCAGAGGGCCGCTGAGCTGTTTCCACATTGGACCTCTGTCTCCTCCACTTTTTGTCTTAAGGTTATTGCCTTCATAATTTCTCAGTGTCAAAGAGGAGAGAGATTCCCCAATGACAAACTTTTGGCGCAAACGTTCCCTGCCTGGCTGCCTAGCTGCCTGGCCTCTGGCTGGCGGTGGGGCAGCAGGTGGGGCAGTGGCTTTCAGAAAGACTCAGGCCTGGCCTCGGACCACTCTCAGCTTCCAGAGGTGCCTGGGGGAGGACCCTGCATCAGCACCCAACAGCCTCTGCCAGGCCACCTAAGGGTCTCCAGGACCACGCTTACAGGCTGCAGGGCTCTGCACATGGTGTCGCATCCTGGCGGGTGGACAGGGACCAGGAACTGAGGGGGCCACTCCCCCCCCCCCCCGGGGCTGGTCTGCTGCTCCCATTTAGCTGGGAATCCAGTTAGTCTAACCAGTAGTGGGGGCTCTTCCAGGCTCCTGTCCTAAACGCATGCAAGGCACAAACACGAAAGCCTCCAGGACCAGCTAGGTATTTGGAGGGAGTGGAGAGAAGCTTCATGAAAACTGGTCACTGGAGTGGCTGTTGTCACTCCTGTCCCATTGTTGCCTTTGACAGATCCAAGGACCCATCTTTTCTCCCCCTCCCTGCCTTGGACCAAGCCCCTGAACAGGAGGAGCAGAGGCCCCCCGAGGCTTCTGTATAGGCATGGAAGCTGCTACAAAGTCTCAGCCCCGCACAGCCATGGCTACAGCGGCTTTAGCAGCATTTGATTAATCTTCTGGCCAGATGATCATTGAGAAAAGGCAAGGGGTGGGGGAGGAAGCCGTTGGACTGTCAGTCTGGGAGGGAGGTGGTTGGGAAGAGAGAGAGAGACCTCTGAAGACAGCACAGGCATGGGGTGCTGCTTCCTGCTTGCTGCTGCTCATGACGCCCCCATGGCTACAAAAGAATTGATCTCAGTTTCCTGCCTCATACTTCCTGAAACTGCCCCCAGGCTTACCACTGCCTGCCACTGCATTCAGATGCCAGCCACCACAGTGGTGGCACTTTGTTCTGCGTGTCCTGTGTCCCTTCCTGGCTTACCAGCCTGCGGAGGTCAGTAGCCGGGTCTTGTTCACTCCTAACTGGAGGTGCAGTCGGCCCAGCGGTGATGGTGCAGATGGAATGGGGGTAAGGTTGGGGATGTGCCTGACACTGTGGTGACTGCTTGATCTCCTCTCAAGTTACCCCCTCTCCCTTTTCCATTCAGGTGATCTTTCACTTCTTCACCCACATGAACATTGTGCCATGGCCCTCCTCCTCCCTGCCACCTTGCCAAACTGCTTCCACTGCTCCCAGGTCCTTTCTGCACATCATGCCAGGCTCCCTGAGTGGAACTGGCTTGGGACAAGCCCCATGCAGAGGTGGGCACCCAGCAGGTGCCCTGACTTTGGGAGTTGCTGAATGGGGGAGCTGCTGGGTGCGCATGCAGCGGGCTCTCCCGGAAAGGCTTAGAGGAAATTAGCTGAAATGCCGCAGGCCTATTTTGAGAGGCTGCTCTGATGGGATAGAAATGACATGGGATTTGGACGCCAAGTCCCCCACTTCCTCCTTGTTTGACCTTGGTCAGTCTTTGAACTTCTCTGGAAACTTGTCCTTTGGTCTGTCAGGAGGGAAATGGTGTGGCTGTGTGCGAGCCATGACAACAGTTCATGCAACTGGAATTAGCTCCATGCAAAGCACTGACCCACGCCAAACCCCGCAGCCATCCTGTAAGGTAGGTGCTTTTGTGATTCCCATTTTACAATTAGAGAAACTAAGTCACATCAGTTTCTGATCTGTGATCAGACATATGGCTGTCTGGTTAGTAAACTGCATGGCTAGCAGGCTGGCCCAGTAACCTGGCTTGACAGTCTATGTGCCTTTTTTTTTTTAAAAAAAAAGATTTATCTATTTGAAAGGGAGGATTACACGGAGAAAGAGCTTCCATCTGCCGGTTCATCCCCCACATGACTGCGACTGCTGGGCCTGGGCCAGGCTGAAGCCAGAAGCCTGGAGCTTCTTCTGGGTCTCCCATATAGGTGACAGGGGCCCAAGGAGTTGGGCCATCCTCTGCTGCTCTCCCAGGAACATTAGCAGGGAGCTGGATAGGAAGTTGAACAGCTGGGTCTTGAACCAATGTTCACATAGGATGCTGGCACCACAATTAGCAGGTTAGCCTGCTGTGCCATGACACTGGCACACCGTATGCTTCTTCATTGTGTCTTTCTGTGTGAGGGTGTTAGTTCTAGGCTAACACTCTTCATCTATAGACCTGGGGAGCAGTTAGGGAGGAACTTCCCCCTGCCGGGCCCTTGCACTTGGTTTCCCCAGTCTGACCCTCCGGGTGTCCTGCAGATGCACTTTTATGCTCATAGCTAGCCAAGTAAACAGCTCCAAGAGCCCCTGCATCATGTCCAAGGTCATGTTGCAAGTCCGCAGAACAGCAGAGATCTGAGCTCTTGATATTTCTTCCAGTTCCATAGCCTCAAGTCCAGTTCATCAGTGTCTATTCATTCACAGAAGCAAGCACCTGCTGGGTCCCAGGCAGTGTGCTGAGCTGATTCCTGGTGCTGGCAAGCAGGATAGATGCGCCCTTCCTGTGGGTGGGACCTTTAAGCAGACAGATGTGTGGGAAGGAGAAAGTAGCTGGGCCAAGATGGTAGTGGGCAGGTGGGTGGGAGGGGAGCTGATGGAGGAAAAACATTCCAGAACGTTTGAATGGGAAGATAACTGGGGTCATGGTTGGGAAGTGTGGGAGAAGGTCCTTAGGCTGGCTGATCCTCAGGCAGTGATGGGAAATGGTTGAGGCTAAGCCCCCTGGGGGCTGTGGGGAGGTCCCTGCGAAGAAGCAGGTGCCATATAGATGGGGAGACCCTTTATGGCCATTGCTGAACTCCAAGCAAAAATCAGTGGTGGCCTGGGGACAGAGAGAAGTGGAGACAAGAGGCAGGGTGTCTAGGGAAGAGACTAACTGTGAGGATGTGCACTACTGAGCTGG